CCATTTTGAACCGTTTTCGATCTATTTATCGAGTAAAATGTACCTCAGAGAAAATATTTTGGAACGTCAATCTGAATGCGCGTTCCTACACTTATATATAAAAAAAAAGTGTTCCAACCATTCTGTCCATCACTGTCCATCGTCCACGAAATAAAAACAAAAAGACCATTGTTGACGAGCAGATTTACTCGTTGCCAACGGTCTTTTGTCAGACGCTTGAACGGCAGAATGTTCGTAAAATTGCGCGGTATAGTGAAAAAGAGAGAAAGAGATATACAATGCGTGTGGAAAGGTACTTCCGCGCGGTTATTGGCGATTGATGATCCACCGCCCGACACTGCGGTAACACGGTGGATCGCGCATTTTTCTCGCGGCAGCCGTGTCGCAATGACCAATCAATCCGGCGAAACGAGACACTCGAAGCCGGGCCGGAGCAATCTGATCCCGTCCGATCCGTATTACCGCAACGTTGTCATAGCCGCGCGCATCTCGAACCGCGCTCGCGTTATTGCTACACGGGCCTGGCGATAATAAATCGTCGATTTAGCAAGCGGCGTTCGCTTTCAGCAATCGGTGAGAGCAATCGTCGTAGGTGTCGGGTCCGTTTCGCCAAGTTCGCGCACGCATGTCGTGGCGTGGTATGGCGCGGCACTTGGAGAACGGTGCGCGCGGAGGATTCTTCTCCGTGCTCCGAGATTTGTCGTACGCACGCGCGTGCTAATTGGACCACGGCGATCGCCGATGATCCGCCGGCGAAACGCGCCAGTCATTGGTAGCAATTGCCCGTTTACATGCAACGACTCTTACACCGATTGCCGGCCGGAATTGTAAAGCGCGATACGCTGATATCCGCGAACGAGGCTGCGAGGGAACTTGCGAAATCTCCCGGCGAGAGACAGATCCGATCTTTCCAGCCGTCTAATTGATGTCTTTGCAAATATATGCGGTCGACGGGAGCGAATATATTAATATATTAGATATATTTAACGTTCAGTAATAACCGCCGCGCCAAGTGTTGACTAAATAAAAAATGTTTCAGGCGCAACGATTTATTAATCGCCGTCGTTAATCATCGTTTCTTCTGACGGCGCTCGCGCGAATCTTTTTTTTTTCCGTCAACGAGCGAGCGCTACACGTTCAAATAGGATCCTCTTTTCATCATCTTGTTCCGCGTGTGCTATTAAGTTATTATACTTGGGTCGCGTGTCGCAACGCTCGCGCCTCCGGCTAGGAATAAGCAGCGAAACGGAACCCAAATTACGAACTCCCGCTATTACAAATTATTGATTATATTATACGTTGCGCCATTCGCGTTTAGGGCAACGAGCGGTGCCCATTGCGCCGTAAAGTCGCGGTGCGTTTCGTCCGCGGCTGGAAAAACCGGGGACGTAGGGTAATCGCGTGCAAGCAAGTCAGAAGAAAAAAATGAACCTGAGATACAGCCGGCTATGAAGCGTGGTCTGCAATGTGCACTTTGCGTCTAAAAACATTCTATTTTGTAGCAGATAAATGCGTTTAAAAAATTTACGCAAGGTGATAAATTATTGTATACATTATACATCGTACAATCGTATGCTGTCGACAAATTTTTGAAGCGTTTTGATTTGTTTATATAAAACAGAAGGTGAATTCTTCAAATTTATCCTAAAAATCACGTAATCGTGGAACAACATGACATTTTGAAGAACTTTATGAGTTTTTTTATTTTATCATATATTTTACTAATAAAATGTATGATATTTTATTAATAAAATGTATGGTAAAATTTTAAAAACTCATAAAATCCGTCGAAATGCCTCGTTATCCCGCAATTAAACGATTTTCAGGACAAATTTTAAGAGGAAATTTTCTCCGCGTATTTAATCGGTTTATCGGATGGAAATTTTGCTCGTTGCGCGATGTTTCTAGACGCGAGGAGCACATTGCAGATCAGACTTGAAAAGCGCATCTTGTGCGATTCAGACGTAAAAAAAAGAACACTGAACTCTTTCACCTCCGCGGATCCCTTTCATATACTTTCCTCGGTGAACTTTCGTTTCTTCTTCGCGTCCAATCGATCATTCCTTTATAGTTAATGGCCTTCCTCGTGCGCTAAATACAAGGAGCGCCGAGTGCTTCAATAATGGACCTGCATGCGAAGATTTTTCTCTCGCTGTTATAAATTGAGATAACGTTCGCATACATTTTTTAACTTACATATCGAAATGCATCGGGAAGCGCGCCGAGAGACGCGTTTGCCAGATACTTTGCGCTGGGAGCTTCGCCCTTCTCGTCTTTTTAGGATTGGTTCGCCGTGAAACGATCCTTACGTATATCATCGGCACTGCCGTCATTTTTGCGCCTTCGTGTACGGACAGATCGTGTCCTCGGCCCAGAAATCATTCTCGGTTATATCCACGGGTTACAGCGAAACGTATTCCGGACAAACGGCCGCTCGAATATTCTAGATCGACGCTCATAGACGATGACTCTCGGAATTTGCTCCGCACAGTGAAATTTTTCGCGCCATCGTGTAATCGTGGGACAACGTGGCATTTCGAAGAATACTAAATATTATAATTACTAATATATGGTAAAATTTAAAAAACTCATAAAGTTCTTCAAAATGTTATCTCCCTGTAATCTCACGATTACATGATTTTCAGGATAAATTTTGGACACAAACCTCAAGTCCACATCTCGTTGATAAAATTCTCAATTGTGCAATAAAATATCTTGAAGGGGAGACTGGAGTGATTCTGCACTATTGGCACCTTTTGCCTCCTCCTAGAACTGTCAATTCATGAAAACATTTATGTAGTATACAAATTATAAAGTTTATGCGCACAGATCGAAAGTGTTCCACTATTCAGATCAAGTGAAAGAACAGCATGGTATCATTGAAATTAAGTTTAGGAGCTTAACAAGAAGTCTATAGGTTACCTAACCTATAACTTATTCGAGTGAATAGACTTCTTGTTAAGCTCCTAAACTTAATTTCATTGATACCACGCTATTCTTTGACTTAATCTGAATAGTGGGACACAGTCGGTCTGTACACAAAAGCTATATAATTTGTACATTGCACAAATGTTTTTACAAAATTGACAGTTCTAGGAGCAAAAGGTGCCAAAAGTGCAGATTCACTCCAGCATCCCCTTAAGACCTGATATAGAACGCCGTTATCTTTAACGCACTGGGGAAAATGTCCGTTTAAACGTAATTGGCAGTTCAATTACATAGTAACAAACGGATATGCCCAACTAAATTGTATATCCGACGAAAAATATGATCGGTTTTTCAATCAAATTCCATCGGGAAATGTAATCGGGAAGATTAACTATCGGAAACACTACACGGAGAGAATTTTCTTTTAAAATTTATCCTGAAAATCATGTTATCGTGTAACAACGTGGCATTTTGAACAACGTTATGAGAGTCTGTACAAATTTTACCACACATTTTATTAGTAAAATGTATATTACAATTTACAAAATTCTCGTAAAGTTCTCCAAAATGCCACGTTTAAATTTTACCACACATTTTAATGGTAAAATGTATGATAAAATTTAAAAAACTCATAAAGTTGCTCAAAATGCCGTGTTGTTTCACGAATGTATGAATTTCAGGATAATCGGTTTGTCCGATGGAAACTTTCCGCCGTGCGCATTACATTATTAATTGCCCTAAATTGAATTTATGAAATTTCATATTTTCACTTTGGGGCAAGATCGATCCGCTCGTGTGGCGCCAATTTAGATTGACGGGCGTATCGGCGACGGCGCGATCTGTTTGTGCCCTAACGTTGATTTAGTTATCTAGTTTCCTACTCGACAAGTACGGGTGAAGCTGAGCGTGTGACGAATAACAATCGAGCAATTTTCGTTCGCACGCTCCGCGCTTACTGATGGTCCTCATTGGGAATTACTTTTCGGAGAAAGGACTTAGACGAGTGACGCGATGATTTTCGAAACTCTACTCGGGTCACTTGCGAAACGAGCCGCTCATCCTGCATTCATTGTGCACTTGTTTTCATAAATACCAACGTGTAAACATTCCATTAGCTTGCCTAATATGCGACTTTTTCGTCACGTATGTGCGAAGCACAATTTTGCGCAACAACGCGAAAAAGAAGCCACCAAAACCTTCTCTACCTTCCGTCCCTCCCTTCCAGACGCAATTTTAACTCGCGTGAAACTTTTACAAGTACACCGTCACTGGATTTTCCTACGCTTACATTCCAGGGTTATTCGATTTTTCAGTTTGACGACATCCTCGTTTCAAGCCAACTGAAACGCGCAACGGAATATTCGATATCCCATCCGCCCGAATGGCCGTCGGATCGCTCGCGCGAGAGTTGACGTGCTCGAGAGCTCGGAGCTACGTCGTCACTCTCGCTGATCGCTCTCCGCGAACGGAGGAGCCAGATGACACCAAGGCCAGGCGGCGCGAGAAGATTTCTCGCGGCGAGAACGTCTAAGTTCGCCGCGAAGCGAGGGAGAGAGAGAGCGAGAGAACGTCCGAGACGGAAAAAGGGTTCCCCTCGTTGACGGTCTGACCAGGGTCAGCCGCAGGACGATGCGTCCCGTCGCCCGGTCCTTCGGAGAGGATCCGACAGCAGGTCCTTCGTTCCCCACGCCGTGCGACAAGATAGTCGCGTCTCCTTATGTCGCCCTCCCCCCTCCTCGTCGGCGTCTGCCTCCCACGTTCCCCGGGAGTCTCACCTGGCCGGTAGCATCCTCCTGCACTCCCGGCGAGGACTTTCTCCGAAAGACGGCCAACTATATAAACGAGATGCACGCTGTTTGAAGCACGTTAGACGAAATCGCACGGGTGCGTCGAGCAGGCCACATCGTGCCGCCGCGCCCCGACTACATCTGTTCCCTTTTCGCAAGTTCACCCCGCATTCACGTGACGGTAGGCCTCGGAGGGAGGAAAACGTAGGGAGAGAGGCACACAGCGCTCGTTCGTACGGGGCAAATACGTGCATGTGAACTCGGAAACGCTGAGGGACTCCACGAGACTTTGATCGCCGGGGACCATGAGGCCCGCGAGAAGCTGGGTCCCGTCGGCAGTGACCGCGCTGGTCGCGACGGCTCTGCTGCTGAGGCCCATCCACGCTGATGGTAAGATCCGAGAGGCAGATACCGCCCGTCGAATGTCCGAATCGCGCCTGGCGTTCGTAAGCTTTGTTGGGTGTTCCGTCAATCTTTTTACCGGCGACGAGGAAAAACGGTACGCGATATCGTGACACGCTGGACGGGAGATCGCGAGCGAAACGTGGAATTCACCTTGCGCGAGGAAGCTTTCGGAGGCTGCTTAATCTTTTACAGTATGGGCTGGGACAGCTCTGGCGGAATTATTTTTGTATCGGGAGAAAGGAGAGATCTTGTGAATATCTAATTGTTATTTCATGTTGAATGGAGAGGAGGGAAAAGTATGAGATTCGACCACATTAATTTTTCGCAAGAGTAAAAGCAGTCCTAAGGCGGATCGCGTGTCGGTATTCTGTATCAGAGAGCGAGATAAATTAATTACTTCGAGGGAAAGAACGCTTTTATAATATTAAAGCCGCGCCGCGTTACTCCTTTTTTCTCACGCTTTACAGCAGCGTATTAAATTCGTCATTGTAGAAGACTCACCGAGGTGAACTTTCTTGTCGCCGGTGCACGCGTTTCCAAGTAAGACAGGTCTTCAGCGGAATATACAATTCAGAGGGGGATGCGTTATAAGAATAGCATTGTGCGCCAACGGTAATTTCACGGTTAAAGTGCGCATTACGCAAGCGCGTCGCGTAATATTTTTCTACCGGCTTTAATGAATGCCGCCGCGGCGGATCTCTAATTTGTCAACGTGTCGGAAAACTTATTAGAAAGTCCACCGTTGTGCCGCGCTGTGATATCGCCTGGCTGAAAAATGACAGTTGCAACGTTTTCGGTAAACGTTTTCACTCGCGGCTTATTAAGTTACAACGTTATCATATATAATATTGTATGTAGCATTGAATTAGATTTTTTATTGAGACTGCGGGCGATCAACCACGCCTTAAAATTGAAACGTGAGCGATAAAGTGCCGGTGAAAATTAAACACTTGCCCGATACGTTCCTGGCCTGTGTAAATGTAATAATTTCACCCCGCGTGAATCGAGATAACAGAGTGATCAGTCGAGATAAAAAAAAATGGAGCTAATTGAGCGTTAAATCTTGACTCTCCGCTTTCAAAACGCTTTTCACGCGCGAACACGTTAAGTCCCTTGTTTCGTGCCGGATTAAAACGCTTCGCGATGCATTTCTCGCTTCCCGATTATACAAGTCTCCGATTAGACGCTTGCGTTCCCGTCGGATATTACTTTATGCAGCCCCGACATCGGTTAATTATAGTAGCAGCACATAATAACCGACGTTCTCGTTATTCAAATAACGAGATGCTTTTATGTCACGAATTAATTATTTGTAATTTGTTCCCCAAACACTTTTCCAGGCCTAACTCGATCACTTGTGCGTTCAAGCAGTCTCTCTCTCTCTCTCTCTCTCTCTCTCTCTCTCTCTCTCTCTCTCTCTCTCTCTCTCTTGCGAGTAATACAGGCAAGTTTGTGAAATTGGGACGCACGAAAAAGTAGAAACTGTGTGCACCGGGCCTGAAATAGTTGAGCATTAGGGCGACCGGAGTTATCGGGCGGCATCTTTAAGCAAATTGCGCATGGCGTGTTGGGATCGTTGTATAAATCAGGACATTATCAGGCGCGATCTAGCGTAATCTGGCTCGAGAGCGCGTGAGCGTGCAGGCCGAAACTTCATCGGCGCCCTCGGCTCGCCGCGATTGTTCCGATTTCGATTCTAACACGTGTAAACGTCACGCGCGCGCACGCGGGTTGTTTAAACGCCGCAGATTATTGCGGTATTGTGCCAACGGCTGTCTAATGGGAAAATGTTGAAATGTTAACAAATTAGTTTCTCAAAATAAAACAACGTTGAAAGAGTAACTTTCAGCGCTCGTTTCGCCCCCATGTCATTCCGCCGCGGCTTTTACGTGCCGCTCTTTGTTCTATTTTAAATTTTATTTTATTTCATCGCCCTCCCGCTTTTGATTCGCTTTAGTTTTTACCATTCAGCTTTTATATATCGCGAATTCGATTTTAACTGCTGTTGCATTTCCGCTGTTACTCCTGTTCGACTTCAATTGTATGAATTATCCAAATCTCGCGGAGCCTCCAAAGTTTCATCGCGAATTTCAGGAGGGTTAAATTGAAGAAATTAAATATCCACTTGTTTGACCCTCCGTCTTCAATAGACACTACTTCCGAAGTAACGTTCTTTCTTGAAGGCCTGTGTCCACGATGATAGAACTTGGTCCAAGTTTTAGTTCCGAGAAATGTGTAACCAATCACCTTGCAGATATTCCATAAAAATTGCAAATTGATTGGCTACACATTTCTCGGAATTAGAACTTGAACCAAGTTCTAGTATCGTGGCTACAGGCCCTTTATAGACTAGTATTCATAGTCAGATCTTATATTCAAGACAGTCTTGAATTTAGTTGAAGATGCTGTATGGAACGTTTCATTGGCTACGAAGTACCTAAAGATGATCTTAAGACGGTCTTGAAAAAGATCTGACTATGAATACCAGCTATAATCTACATGAACCCGAGGACTTATTGTTAATTAAACGAAGAGAATACTTGAGCGCTCCACGTAAGAGATAATAAATTGATTTTTTTGTGCTGGGGAGTCTCTTGAGACTCCGTCGTACTCGTGTTACAAAATAGCGCGGCGAGCGAAGGATTAACAAGTGGGACAAGAGAAAATAGATAGAATTGCTGATCCGACATTAATTGGTGTATTTTCAGTCGATGACAACCTGGCGATCCGCTCGTAAATGATACCTGCGATGAAACGCGTCTTCGACCGTCGCATCACGCTCGCGCGATAAATCAAACGGACGTACCGTTCGCGGCGCGTCAGCCGCGAATGAAAGCGAGCGTGACTCAATCGGCGCGTTAACGCGCGTTTAACATTTTAAAAAATGCCGCGCACGCTGTTAACGTGAAAATTGCGTTGGCGTTTCGAGCGTGCGACACAAAGCGTCTCGCAATGATTGTCTCACGACGAAAACACCGGATAATAATGGCGCTCGGGGGAGATCAAGTCCCGCGATAAGAAATCGTTACGGTCTGATTGCGCTTCCGTGGCCACCGCGCCGAGTTGGCTTAGAATGTGCTATCTGACGCGAACGTAACTCTCCTCGCGAGTTTTCCTCTTTCGCGAGACACCGTGTGTTCTTAAATTGAAGCGCGACTTCGAGAATTCCAGTCTTCTCGATTGCCTCCAAGTTATCTCGATTTTTAGTTAGACAACTGAGATACGTTGAAATCACATTTCTTTGAATCTGCTAAATTTTTATTTACCTCTACTGAAACGTTTGCTAGATTTGAGGAAGTAGATATGAGTTCTCTTAGAAATTCCAGTCTCGAATAAAACATTGGTTGAGGTAAAGAAATCAATTCTTCAAAATTAAATGAAAGTCCAGTAAGATCAAAATTCAAACGTATTTGTTTGATTTCATTTCTCTCTTCTGGGTGTACAGCCTCTTGCGTTTAAGCGCCATTAAATGCCGTTAAAACGGTGAAATTAAACTTGTGCCGATATGTCACGAAGATTTAGACAGCTCTTTCCCATGGAAAGAGAAAACAAAGTTTTCAAATTTCTACCTTGTATTACGCCAACTTCCAATCTCGATTGCTAGGAAGTCGCGTAAAAGCTATTGTCGACTTTATTACTTATCATCTCGTCGCTAATAACGTTACCGCAAACAATAAACGTTCTTCATTAGCGGTAATTTCGTCAGAGACATTGCGACGTAATAAAAAGTCATCAGCGATGCAAGAAAGCATAAGTCGAGAGAGCAGTTAAGTAAATCATAGTGATGTTCAGGATAGATTAAATATTATGCTCTCTCGAACGTAAAATTAATCGAAAGCCCAAGCCATAATTTACGTCTCTTTTCTAAAATCCATAGTAAAGAGGGGTGTAGGGGGGAGGTAGGCACTAAGACGCGCCACTTATTAATTTTCGGCGAGAAAAATAACGGACTAGGATTCGAGCCTGACACCTTCCGCTTGCTGGGCGAATGCTCTTCCGACCGAGTTGTCCAGGCCCATGCTCGAAATCCTTCTCGCTCACCTATTTTACAAGTGTAAAAGTCTAAAATACTTTTCGAAGCCTGAAATTTTCGGTTTTTGGAATTATTTTCAGCGCCTGTCTCGGGCAGCTATCTACCACCGTCAACCAGTTACGGCACGCCTAATCTAGGAGGTGGCGGCGGTGGTTATTCCGGCGGCGGCGGAGGAGGAATCTCGTCGAGCTACGGTGCGCCTTCGGGCGGTGGCGGTGGATTCGGCGGCGGCGGCGGCGGCGGTCACGGGGGTGGTCGACCTTCCTCGACCTACGGAGCACCCGGTGGAGGTGGCGGTGGCGGCGGATACCCAGGTGGTGGCGGTGGGGCACCGTCCTCCAGCTATGGAGCGCCCCCGTCCTCGAGCTACGGGGCACCGTCCGGCGGCGGCGGTGGTGGTTTCGGAGGTGGCGGCTTCGGCGGCGGTGGTTTCGGAGGTGGAGCGCCTTCCAGCAGCTATGGGGCACCTAGCTCTGGCGGAGGTTTCGGCGGCGGGGCACCGTCCTCCAGTTACGGGGCCCCGTCTCGCCCCTCCGGCAGCTACGGGGCGCCATCCGTAGGACGTCCGTCCTCCAGCTATGGCGCGCCTTCTAGCGGAGGCGGCGGGTTCGGCGGCGGTGGTTTCGGTGGCGGCGGCGGCGGCGGCTTCGGCGGCGGTAAACCGTCCTCGACTTATGGAGCACCGTCGAGTGGAGGCGGTAGACCGTCGTCCACATACGGAGCGCCTTCCGGCGGTGGTGGAGGTTTCGGCGGCGGCGGCGGCGGCGGTTTCGGAGGTGGGGCACCCTCCTCGAGTTACGGGGCGCCTTCCTCGAGCTACGGAGCGCCTTCCTCTTCCTACAGCGCACCCTCCACAAGCTACGGGGCACCGCGTGGCGGCGGCGGCGGCGGCGGCAGCGGTGGATATTCCGGAGGTGGTGGCAAAACCGTCGTCCAGCTATGGAGCGCCCAGTTCTGGCGGCGGCGGCGGCTTTGGAGGTGGCGGCGGTTTCGGAGGAGGTGGACACTCCGGTGGCGGTGGAGTGTCTTCGACTTACGGTGCACCCTCGGGAGGCGGCGGTGGCGGATACTCCGGCGGCGGTGGCGGATACTCCGGTGGTGGCGGCGGGTACTCTGGCGGTGGTGGCGGATATTCTGGCGGCGGCGGCAGCGGCGGTGGATATTCCGGCGGTGGCGGTGGCGGATATTCCGGCGGTGGTGGACATTCTGGCGGCGGTGGATATTCCGGCGGTAGCAGCGGGTAAGACGTGATAATATCAAATAAACTACTCAGTAATGAGGCAAACATCATGTTTGTCGTTTTGCGCAAAGTGTCGATTGATGTTTTACATTATCTTGTTCGATATCACAAACTACCAATCTCAATTCAGTACATATCCATGATAATTAAAATACTGTTGAGTCTTAGCAATCACTCGTTTAATTTGACATCATCTTTCATCAATTGTGTTCGAGTACAAAATTTTTCATTGAATATAATTTCTTAATTGCTCTCCAGCGTTCTTGTAGTCTTTCCTTAACTACTTTTCTTTCGAATCCGCTGATAAAATGTTGTGACTTTCTCAGTGGTTACTCCGGAGGCGGTGGCGGTTATTCCGGAGGCGGCGGTGGTGGTTATTCCGGCGGCGGCGGTGGTGGCGGTTACTCCGGCGGCGGCGGCGGACAGAGCTACGCCAGCAATGGAGGATACCAATACTAATCCAGACATGTGTTCACCCGGCGAGACGAACTCCGTGCTCAACCACGTCGGCTTCCATCAGGTTTCCCGGATCGGACGGCGCGAACTCGATCTATCACGACGTCAAGACCCGTCGATTCGGTCGATCGGCTCGAACGATTGCGTGCTATCAGGAAACGGACGTCGAGCCGAGAGGCTGGTTTCAATCGAAAGATGACAGCCTTGGTACACGTAGCCACGAGCAGATGTCCTGGACATGATCGCCGATAACATTACGAATAACCGAGGAAGATCAACGCCGAAGGCAGTTGTCCCGTTGTTGTTGTCGTCGAGCGTGTCCTTAACAATCGCGCGGATATTACTTAAGGTCTCCCACGGGGGGAACGTGTCTTTATCCGACAGCCGACGGGAGAAGCGTGCGAGGCCCGTTCGCTGCGTCGTGAAAGTCCGCGAAATTTGTGCTAAAGATTTAACAACGATGGGTTCTCGGTCGGGAAAATTGTGAGCGGAGGAATACTCGTCCCGATGGCAGGCGCGTTCCCGCGAACGGCCGATAGAACAAGATTGTTTCTCTTTTCTTTTTTTCTTTCTTTAATATTATTATCACTTTTATATACCGGCTTCCAGGAAAGCGTCTGCTTATGGAACGTTACTTCCGTCAATATCGTAGAAAAGAGAAAGAAAAAGAAGAAGAAGAAAATGAAGAGGGGGAAAATTAAGAGCGGAAAACGCACGAGAAAACTCGATTTTCCACATTCGGAGCCTGTAACTTATTTATTTTGTAAAGACGCTTTTTTTGTACTAATAATAAAGCCGCTATACGCTGATAAGGAATAATCTCGTCGGGTTGTCGACTTCTCGTCAATCCTATTCCGTGGCGCCAGAAGCAGAAGAGATTAACATCTTTTGGAGGTCTCCTACGCCCGTTTCGCGCAATCTTTTTAATTATGGAGCCGTTTCCACGCCGCGAGCTGAAGACCCGAGCCTCCGATTGGATTTTGTCTCCCCGCTCGCGCAATTATTTTACTTTTTTCCCCCCAAACGTGATAAGACGCTCCTGCGTTTCACTTCGCCGATCAGCATAGTCCTCGGACGGAACAGCGCCCGTGCCTTCCACAACCGAAGGAAGATCGGCGCGGCGAAGAGGAACTCTGCATAAGGTTAGTCGGCCGACACGGCCGGACGGTCGATTTATCGATTCTCACGGCTCGGATACCGGGAGGGCATGAATAACTAAGAGCTCTCTTTCTATTCCTACCGTCGGGTGTCTAAAAGCGCGATATCGATAGCGGGGGTTCCGCGGCGCGAGGGCGAGCCCCCCCCTGACCAGCGAGACCCGAAAGGCGCGCGTGGCGGAGAGCACGTTGAAAAATGAACACGGAGATCTCGAGAGCTTCTCTCCGGATGATCCATAAATATTAAAGTCTCGGCCGTTACGTCGTATTACCAATATTACGCGGTGTCCCCGGGGAAACGCGAGTGGAACGACAAGAGGAACAACGTAAAGTCTGACGCGCGCGCGGCGCGTGACAAGAGTGCGTTAACATGATAATTTCGTCGAAAGCACTTTCTAACCGGCTCCGTAACGCGTGGTTTACCGTCGCGATCGACGGATTGACACAGGTGCGACCGGCCGATCTCTACGAATTTTCTCCTCTCCGCGCCTTCTGAAAATTCAACCGCTCGCGCGGCTTTAGATCCGCGTAATTTTCAGCTCCTGAAATACCAGGGTTCACGCTCTTTCGCAGGACGCAAAGGTTAACGTCGGGGGTGGTGTTCGTGGTCGAGGGGGGGGGGGAGATTTAACAGCGTGTACTTTCGAGCTATTATTCATACAACGATCTTACTATATTCAAGCTGCTAATTTTCCTCTCGTCCGCAAATTTGTAATTCCGAGCGAGTTCTTATTCTCGCAAACGCTCGAGCTTATCTTACCTGCTGTTATCCCCTTAAGGAGCCATTGCGAGGCGTTGCTTTCCAGACTTGAAGGTAAATAAATCAGCTCCGCCTTGGATCGTGCTTCGGGGATGGAGGGGGGAGGGGGAGGGGAGGAATCGGCTGGCGCCGCGAGAGCTGCCTTTGACAATGAGTCGTTGGAGCACACGGGCTCGTCCACGTGGAGCCGCGACACCAAATGCGAGGCCGAGATTTTTGTACACCGTTTATTTTTAACATTTACAATCAACATCTCTTTCGTTTTGTCAATTATACACGTATAATGTCATATAATACAGTAACGCTTCTGCAATACATATACATGGATATACTCCTCCGTGGGATGGGGAGACAGGGGAGAGGGTGAGTCGGGGAGCGCTCTTTGCTTTTTACATGATATTAATAAGTTAACTCTACGTAATTAGGTAAGTCACCCCGTGCGTTTGGGACGCGCAACATTAAGTACGCCGCCTTGGTCTCCAAGCGGGAGAGAGTGATCGACGATTCTCGGTTCGGTCGGAGGATCGTCCTCGCTAATTCTTGTGCGAGCTACCACGAGTTTGCGCTTCGCTTTATCACCTCTCGTTTTCTCGGCGCGACACAGGTCGGCTCGCGATTTTACACTCTGCGGCGGAGCGACGTCGTTCCGCGGGAAGAAATTGGTATTTGCACGCGCAGGCTTCTCGAGACCTAAACTGATCCTCTTTGAATTAAGAGCTCAAAGGGGCACGAAGGATGTCATTTTGCATCGCAAATGGCTGGAATGTATAAAGTAGATGTCCAATGAAATTAGAATCGTATTCCTTGCGATTCAAACGAAGAGACACGTGGCGATTCGAAGAAGATAACTTTGCACTCCAGCCGTTTAGACTCGCGACCCAAATCCCGAAAGGTATTAAGGGGCTGCTAGAGCGATTCTTTTTACACCTTTTGCTCCTAGAGCTGTCACTTGATGAAAACATCTAATATACAAATTATGTGGCTTTTGTGTACAGACCGACAGTGTCCCGCTATTCGGACTACACCAGAGAACAGCGTGGTATCATTGAAACTAAGTTTAGAAGCCTAGCAAGAAATCTATTCACTCAAATAAGTTATAGATTAGGTAACCTATAACTTATTTAAGTAAATAGATTTCCTTTTAGGCTTCTAAACTTAATTTTAATGATTCTATATTGTTCTCTGTTTCAGTCCGAATAGTGGAACACTTTCGGTCTGTGCGCATAAGCTTTATAATTTGCGTACTACACAAATGTTCTCATGAATTGATAGTTCCAGATACGGGAACACTCCAGCATCCCCTTAAATAATTTACGAGATCGGCGCGATACGTATATCGACGAGTCGTTTTTCAAAAGTCGAGTCTCCTGAATAAACGGCGCAAAGCTGCGCGCGTAAAGATCGAGGGCACGAGTGCTCCTCTCGCTTCCCGAGAACGACGAGCGTGTCCACCCCAAAGAAGGGTTGCGTTGTATGTATATACATATCTCATATAGTCTTATCTTATTACGCGATTCCTTTCTCGCCGCGACTAATTATCTATACAATAGAGCACACTTTATGATATGTATAGGTTTCTCGTTGCGTCGCCGATTACAACGTACGTTGATTGATATGTAGATGATACGTGGCCGTCTTATGAGAGCGTTCTCATAAGCTATATATAATGTCTACTGGTTTCTCCCGCGCGTACTCGACGCGCGGCTCCTCCGCCCTTCTTAAGGGGATCCTAAAGCCGTCTGTTTTATCGACATTCTTTGTTAGAAGTAACCCTTTAATTGGCTTTATAGGAGTGCAAAACTCTTTTACGGAATCAAAGTACGCAGCGAAATCTAGACTATGCTGCTCGACTTTATATAAAAAACGAAAACAAATTAAAAATTTTACTAATTTTTGGTACACTTGACGACAATATTTGCTTGATACAGGAATTCGACAATAAATATATACAAAATGAGACCAGCGTACTCTAGGGACAACATGTAAGAACAATATCGTGTAATTAGAACTAAGATTAAGAGAGCCTAGAAAAAAAGATTACTTCTAATAAACGCAAGTCCAGAAGAAGAGAAAAAGAGCCGTAGAAATAGCGTGTAGAAATAGATGCAGGCTTTTTCGAGAGAGGTTGCTGCCAAACATCTGTCAGATTGTCAGTAAAGCGCCACGGTGTTGACGATGCTAGAATTCGATCCAAAATCTCGGTCTGAGCAATGTGTAGCTAATAAAATTGCTACTTTTTCATAAAAGTTGCAAATTGATCGGCTACAAATTTCTCGAACAGAGTAGAACTTGAAATTGAAAATGTCGATAATTGATGTTTTTAATTCCGTCTCCTATCTTATCGAGTTCCCTAGCGGCTTTAGGATCCCCTTAAGACGATGCTGGAGTGATTCTGCACCTTTTGCACTTTTTGCATCTAGAACTGTGAATTCATAAAAACATTTGCGTAATACACAAATTACAAGAATTATGCGTACAGATCGAAAGTGTCCCACTACTCGGATTAAGTCAGAGAGCAGCATACCATTGAAACTAAGATTAAGAGCTTAGAAATAAATCTATTCACTTAGGTAAGTTATGGATTACCTAATCTATAACTTATTTAAGCGAATGGATTTCTTGTTAGGCTTCTTAACTTAATTTCAATGATACCATGCTGTTCTCGGATTTAGTCCGAATAGTGGGACACTGTGAGTCTGTATACAAAAGTTACATAATTTGCATATTACACAAACGTTTTCACGAATTGACAGTTCCAGGAGCAAAAGTTGCAAAAAGCTCAGAATCACCCCAGCGTCTGCTTAAATTCGTACAAAAGAAACGATGGGATTGGCCTCGAAGCGCAAACACCTGTCGAGGCGAGCGAATTCATTACGACGCCCAATCGCAACGAATCGTGGATGAATGGCTGATAAGTACCTATGCTGAAATTTCTTCCCATCTTACGCTGTGTTCAAAAACAACACCCGGGCGTTCCAATGTATCATTTTATCCTTGTGTATCATTTTAACATACGGTGAGGCAACGAGGATAAATTGATACGCTGAGGCACTCGGTTTTTGAACGCAGCCTTAGTTTCCTGAGTGTAAATATTGAAGAACACAAACGCGTAGATGCGGAAACTCAGAGGAGAGCAAAAAGAATCAAAGACCCACGTCCC